CCTCGTATGCAAAATTTTGAAATCAGTATATTTTGATGTTTGAGTAAAAACATGATGCAACTGCATATGGAAATTTAAACCAAATGGGAGAGGGAACCTGGTGCCAGATGTGCAAAATTGCAAACAGCTTGGCCCATCTTGCCCAGCAAACAGACAGGAGGTGTGGGCTTTAAGAAGGTAAGACATAGCAGGACCATCAAACAATTAACAGATTTAATCACAAATAATAACACATATTAATATTTTCAGAATAAAAAGACTCTAAATTGAAATCGAAATTACCCTAAATTGAGACATCGCAGACAAGTACAACACAGTTCACAAAAAGCTTACACTAAAGCCACTTATTTCTAATATTTGGATACTATTTGATTGATTTCCATTCACTAAACATGTATTTAAAAAATTATGCTAAATACCTAAATGTACATAAAGATCCTGTGACGGACAAAATTTGCAGGGTTGGTCTGTCATGAAGAGAAACAGGACTGAGTGATTCAACAGTCTTTAATGTGTTACTGACAAACACATCTGGTTGAAGTAATTAGAATCAATCTGAAATAGAGAGGTTAACTGAAAGCAGCCTACATAGTTTTTTTTGATTGTATTGGGCTGTTTTAATTTAATTTAATTGGCTGTTTATTTCACAATTATATTTTGGCTAAAATTTCAATATATCTGTTTTAAATAGGGATGTAACGATTCACTCAACTCACGATTTGATTCGATTCACGATTCGATTCGATTCATGATTATTATTATTATTTTTTAACTAAATGAGATTTAAGACAAATTATAAATTGAATGTGTCCTTTTATTATTGCCTGGACAAAATGCTGCACATTTCTTTGTGAAATTGAAATATAACACTATAATAATATACTAATATAGCACTTGCATATTACTGCCCTTTTGTTGGTTTTGATTGCTTCTATTGTCCTCATTTGTAAGTCGCTTTGGACAAAAGCCTCTGCTAAATGACAAAATTTAAATATAACGTAAATGTAAATAACAAAACTACATTGACATTTTAAAACAAGCCCCAAATCAAATAAATAAGTAACACAAATAAAATAAATATCTTCATATAAACAAACTAAGGCTTTATCTGTGCTCTTTCCTTTTAAAATGAGAGGCAACCACGTGCATTTTAATCTCGATCCAAACAAAGATGCTGCATATATGCAACATGAGCAGTTTTTAAACTAAATTCAATTGTATAATTTCGAAACTTGAAGCAAAAACAGAATGGGTTGACTTCAGTTTTGTGAAACTATAAATATAAATATCTGCATGAACCAGGAGACGTGCTGAATGAGACGCAGATTAACTCTCTGCCAGCAGGTGGCGCATAAAGCGTTTCCTGGTTTCCGCTGTAAACAAAGCAGCGCTGAACTTATTAACTTTAATATGCATTATACAGAGGCAAGATGAAAAGAAAAAATACCATCTAAACTTTTCTAAAGACAGTAAGTTCCCCTCAGACATGCATTCATATAAACTCCTACACCTAAATGAATCGCGATTTGTTTAGCATCTCAACCGATTTGAATCGTCACATATTTGAATCGATTTTCAACCGGCTCGCAGTTAATCGTTACATCCCTAGAAAACCAATTAATTCATTCTGATATTTGAGATTAACCTTGCTATTTATACCAAAACAAACACAGAAAGTTGCATTGTGTTGATAGCATTTTTTGTTTTTCACATTAGTCCACTTATAGCATCAGTAAAGTGTTTTTTTTTTGTTCCAGAACATTCCGAATTTAGTTAAACCTATGAGCCTCTACAGTCACTTTTGACTGAAAGAATAATCATGGAAATTATAAATAATGTGATACACAAACTGGACTGAAATGATGAGGGATATTGTAAAAATACAGCAGAGCCACTTGTTTCTAACACTGGAATTCTTCAGAAAAACACACAAAGCATATAGTCAGAACAAGGTTTTTGCAGCTTAGCATTTTCAGTGGGGATGAAGTATAAAATTCTGAAAGTCTAGCATTTTCATTGTACATTAAATTATTTTTATCAACAGAACTTAAGAAATAAAGGGAAAACTGATTCCTCTAAAATAATCGTTTATGTTTGATGGAGCTTACTGGAAATATTTCTCGCCCATCAAGTTCATGACCTCCCCAGTGGAAGCTTTTACAGTATAAGAGAATCTCATGCAGGGATTGTTATTATTATCATGTGCATCTGTGTTTGCCAATGGATTTAACATATGGTCTGTCACCTTTGTGACTATATGAATGTTCCCATACCAATCACTTTGACAGATCAGCCAAGCAGACAGGCCCATGATGATGACAATACCTCTGAGAATGCCACATGCACCGCTTACCTACTCACTGAGACGTTTACTTGAGAAAAACTTGTCAGAAACACTTAATGTTTCAAAGTTACTGGAGAGACAGTCAAGGAAAGTTTCATTCAGGTATGTGAGGGGAAGAGGAGGAGAATTTAAATCATGCTCGCAGTATGAAACATATGGGTAGTTGTAATTCGCTGAGATCCCATAACAACAGCAGACTTGAGGACGGACTGCTGAGTTTTGCTATAATTTATGAATCTGATTAGGTCTTTAGTAAAGTGCTGCTGTTTGGATGCGAGTTAATGCTCTCAATAACAATTATTTTAACCATATGGTGGCTTTCTCGTGGTTGGCTTGCGCGAGTATTCTTCTTGCCAGTCATAGTGTGTAGTTATATTTGCAATATGGTTATCACATAAAACACTTATGTATTAAGCTCAGCAAACACTAAAATAGTATTACAAGTTGACAAAATGAGAAGCTCATGAGATAAAAGCAAGTCAACAAAAAATCTGAAACCGTCAATCTTAAATTATTGCTGTTTTGGATGAAAGACCTGACCATTTAAGCAGACCATCTAAGACAGCATATCAAAAATGCCAAATAAACCACGATAAAACAGGACTAGAAAGTAAAGTAATCTGCAAGTTGTTTTCCTCAAAATGTATGGCTTTGATTTCAAAACTGCTGTACTCTGAAATGGCTTTGGGAATTGAGGTTTGTAACTTTAATAGTATATGCTTGTGCACCAAGAAAGACATCAATCATGAAATAATTGCTAATTCATGCATTTATAGCACAAAACAAAAGCTTTTAACTAGTCAAGTACTTTTTATCTATAGTAGGCTGTTTTTGCAAAACTCAGCATAGAGATAAACTCCCATCACATAAAAATTTCCAGCCGGTACATGCATGAAGAAGCAGGTGCTAAAAAACCCTAGCCTGCTTATTTTCTCTCTGTGTAGTTCACAGAAGGCTTGAGTGATGAGTTTAATTCCCATCAGTGCACACTGGTGCTCAGTGAGTTGAAATTATTTGCTTGAGTGGTCTTATCATTATTTACCTCTAAGGAGTTGATCTCCGGTGGTCAGTATCTTTTGCACTCTTCAAAAAGGCAAAGGGCTATTCCATTATGTTCCTAATAAGCCACTTCCAGTCCTGCTTTTACACACCTGCCTGTAATTTTCAAACAATCCTGATGACTTTGATTAGCTAGTTTAGGTGTGTTTGAATATGGTTGGAGCTATAGTCTGCTTGAATACTACAATGATTGAACAACAATCATAAATCACATTATGATAATATCGTATTTTACATATTTCTGTATGTATTTTTGTGTATGTAATTGTAAGATTTTGTACATATTGCTAATTCTAGTATACATATAAATAAGTTTTTTTTTTTTTTTTTTTTTTTTAAAGAAAAAAAAAAAAAAAAAACTCTAGCTTTCTATTCTACTTGTTTTTCTTTGTTTGTGTATATATATATATATATATATATATATACACACACACACCTTGCTACGTGTACTGCGTTAGGCTAACCGAGACTTGTCATTTGCACTTATATGTGTATATCCCATGGCTTGCCATGGCCCAAATGCACATGATGAATCCAATGAAGAATCTCTCAGATATCTTTCTGGCAGAACACAGAACATAGTCAAGTCAAGTCACCTTTATTTGTATTGTGCTTTATACAATACTGATTATGTCAAAGCAGCTCATTCGAGGGGCCAGTTCTCCTCTGGCCAGACAAAGCCAGCATGGCATGGTTTAATTCCAGGCTGCAACAAGGGTCAAACAGTGCAGAGGACTTGTCTGGTTCCCGTGGTTTTGTGCCGATGGTTGTCAAGGTGACAAAGAACAAATTGTAATAAATAGTCCACTAAAGCCGAGTGTAGGCAAACCCAAGTGCAGCTTTATTAAATCCAAACGTGAGCTGATACAAAAATAAACAAAGGCTTGGCTTGGCTTGACTTGACTTGGTAAAAACAAACGTACATGTGAACAAGAAACACACCAACAGTGGTTACACGAACAAAGCTAGGCAAGACACAATGGCAAAATGAGGGCTATATATATATATATAAAAACAAAAGAGGTCACATGACATAATCCAACCAATGAACACATGACACATAACTAAAACAACCAATCACAACATGACACATTGATTAAGAGGGCACATGCAAGATACATGAGGACAATGGAATTACATGACAAACACAGAAACATAAACATGACTAAACTACAAAATTAAAGACATGAAAACATGAACAAGAAACAAAACCCAAAAACCAAAAACAGATATGACAGATCCCCCCTCCATGGGCGGCTCACGATGCCCAAACAGAACACCCACCCCAAAACACAAACAAAAAAGTCCAGGAGGGTGATGGAGCAGAGGCAGTCTAGGGGGAAGGAAGGAGTGCCAGGCCCGTGAAGCGGGATATGACCTGGAATATGGAACAAGGGCAGACCTGCGCAGCAGAGGCAGGCCTGAACCATGGAACAGTGGCGGGCCTTGGTTGAGGAGCAGTGGGCCAGACCATGGGCCATGGAGAAGTGCTGGACTTGGATCGTGGAGCAATGACAGGCCTGGACCATGGAGTAGTGTAGGACCTGGTCCGTGGAGCAGTGGCTGAGACCATTGTGGAGCTGGCAGAGCAGGAAACCAGTGCAGAGCCGAAGACCACCAGGGCAGAGCAGGCAGAGCTGAAGACCTCCAGGGCGGAGCAGGCGGGACTGAGAATCCCCACGGTATAGCAGATGACTACCAGGGTGGAGCCGATGGAGCAGGTGACCAGAATGGAGCAGATGACCACCACAGGTCAGGAGGCCATGGCAGAGCAGAGACATGAACGGACTACCTGGCCATGATAGAACAAGCAGACGGTTTGTGAGTGGCCTCCATGGCCGCGACATGACAGGCAGAATATCCTTGAAAGGCCTCAGCGGCCATAGCACGACAGGCATAGTCGCGACATGACAGGCAGGGTATTCAGAGACAACCTCCATAGCCATGACAGCACAGGCAAGGGGTTCAAGGACAACCTCTTGGCTGTGTTTGGACAGGCTGAGAGCCCAGAGACAGCCTTCTTGGCCATGACATGGCAGACTGTGAGTTCAGAGACAGCCTCCTCAGCCGTGACAGGACTGGCAGAGGGTTCACGTATAACCACTGTGGTCAAAACAGTAAACTCACAGGTTGGTGCCAACACAGGACTGAGCTCTAGGGCTTGATCGGGCTCTGGAACGAATCCATGGACTCATCTAGGTATCCTTAGGAATAAATTTGTATGGTGACAGTGGCGTGATAAGGCTCTGGAGTGGCGGCCATCTTGGCTGTAGGCTCTGGCATGGCAGCCATAACGGGTCGATACTTGGGCTGCCCCCTAATACTCGACTAACCTTTAGTCGGCGAGAAGAGACTTGGTTGACCAAAATTTTATTAATCGCAGAAAAAAAATCCTCAGGAAGTGGTGAGGTTATGCAGTCTGTGATGGACAGATCGTTAATAGTTGGATTTTGTGGTAACACAGTACATCATAGGTCTTCAGCCCTGCTCCTGGGGACCCACCGTCCTGCAAAGTTTATTTCCAACCTGCATTTTCCGTTATCAGCAAACCTGGTCTGTGACTTTTCAAGTGATCCTGAAGACCTTGATTAGCTGGTTCAGGTATGTTTGATTAGGGTTGAAGCTAAACTATGCAGGACAGTGGGTCCCCAGGAGCAGGGTTGAAGACCTATATGCAGTACATCCAAATGCTCGCCTATCATTAATCGACCTCAAATATGGCTTATCATCTGAAATATATAAGTAGTAGCAACTTTACATGGCCGCTCAATCTAATGTTAACCTAGAAAAATGTGCGCTATTCAAGTGTCTGAACAGCAGTGTTGGGGAGTAACTAGTTACATGTAATGGCGTTACGTAATTTAATTACAAAATAAATGTAACTGTAATCAGTTACAGTTACTTATGAAAATGTTAACGATTACAAAGGGGATTACATTTGAATATTTACACACATCCACATACAGATTTAATTAATTTCTTTCCCAAATTGCACTGACTACTCTTGAGACATACGGTCCAATAATTTCCGCGATGTGGAAAACACAGACTGGTTCGTAGAATCCAGTCATAAAAACCGAATTCCTATAGCCTAACGCGGACGGAATATGCCACATTTTGGATGAATAAATCAAACGTAGGTCAGTACACTTAATACTGTATAAAGGACATCATTATTATCTATTAAAACTGTTTTGTTAAATCTTGAGTATTAAAGTCATGAGAGAGATAGATATCAGGGCAAAAAAAAAAAGAGACTGAAAAGAAAAATGGAAGTGAAGGTGCAGTTCATGAGAGACCTTTAAATTATTTTGCATGTCCCCAACCTAAGGATTTAATCCTTTTTTATGTGAGGTCCATACAAAAAAATAGCTCGCTGTGTTTTCAGCCTCTGCCGCCTCAATATATGAGTACATGAACACATTAACATAATCTCTAGAACTGCTTCATGAGTATTTTACTTATTTTGAGAAAACTATCGTCATATCATATACAAAGAGACACCAATGTTTCAGGAGTTTAGTACACAGAATGGGACACATGCTTATTAGATAACCATATTTGAGTTAATGTATATGCTTTTATTTATTATTATTTTTTAATTAACATTTTTTTTTCCAAACCATTGATAGTGAGGGTTTGAAAATGATTAACAGTTGCAAATAAACATTCATTAGAAATGTAGAAAAGTAATCAAAAAGTAAACGTTTATTTGTGTGCACTCACTATAACAAACAGGATGCGCTTTCTGCTGTCTTGGCCTCTGTGAACTTGAGCGTGAAACTCCGTATATACTTGCCTTACAGAAATGAAAAATATATCTATAGAGAGTGAAATGTCTACTTTCAAATGAACCAATTGAAATCTGAAAAAACAAATATTCTCATATTATGTAATCTGTATGAAACTTGCATGCAGGTGCATCCACTACTGTGGAGATGACGAGTCAGTGTGCCAAATTCATCTCTTAAGCCGAAAACACCATAGTCTATCAATAGATTATTAAAATGTTAATGCAGTTTAATCTTGCTGTTTTTCCCTGACACATTCATCATCATTACTTCTGCCGGTGTGCTGTGGCAAGCCTTTATGTGTGCACTTGAGCGCTTATTAGGCTATGTAGGCAATTAAAGGCTCATTAGCATGATTTAAATGGTTTATTAATAAACATGTGATTAGTCGACTAATGCTTAAAATGAATGACTAGTAGTCGACCAGAAAAATCTTTAGTCAAGGGCAGCCCTAGTCGATACTCTGGAGTGGCGGCCATGTTGTGATGAGGCTGCGGTGTGGCGGCCATGATGTGACGAGGCTCTGGCATGGTGGCCATGATGTGGAGAGGCTTTGGCATGGCAGCCATGTTGGGTCGAGGCTCTGGAGTGGTGGCCATGACGTGACGAGGCTCTGGCGTAGCCGCCATCTTGGCTGAAGACTCAGATGTGACAGACATGACGTGAAAAGGCTTTGGCTTGGCAGGCATGAGGTGAGAAGGCTCTGGCTTGGCAGGCATGACATGAACACCGGCATTGCACAGGAATAGAGTTCCTCATTTGCTTCTCCCACAGGAAATGAGGAGCCACTCAACAACAAGGCATAGTCCATATATTGAGCCAGGAAAAATGTACTTTTTCCTCCTGGCATCCATGAATGAATGGGTTCATTTAACTCATAACAAAAAATGTCCTAAAGATCCATGCCATTAAAATCCACCAAATGATACAGTCCACAAAAGTCCGCCACATAGTCCTCTATACAATGATTACCTTGACGAAGGCAAATCAAAGAAATTGCTGGGTCCATTATAACGGTCTAACTTCCTGTAAAAAATAGTCCACTGAAGGTGAAGTGTAGACGAACCCAAGTGCAGCTTTATTAAATTCAAACGTGAGAAGATACAAAAATAAACAAAGACTTGGCTTGACAAACTTAAACATGAACAAGAAACTCACCAACAGTGGTTACACAAACAAAGCTAGACAAGACACAATGGCAACATGAGGGCTATATATATCAAACAAAAGGGGTCACATGACATATTCCAACCAATGAACACATGACACATAACTAAAACAACCAATCACAACATGACACATTGATTAAGGGAGCACATGGCAAGATACATGAGGGCAAGGGTATTACCTGACAAACAAGGAAACATAACCATGACTAAACCACAAAATAAAAGACATGAAAACATGAACAAGAAACAAAAACCAAAAACAGACATGACACAAACCCAGCAACTCACAGGTATTACAGCATACTGTCATATGCATGATTGAACATCTTCCTCTGTTCTTAACCACTATAAACATCTCTAAAGGAACAGGAGCCCCCAATGATCCTTGGATGTCCAGTGGCAATGAATTTCATTGCATCAAAACATACGTAGGCCTAGAGATGGAGGGGAGGAGAAGGGATGCTAGAGAAACCTCACTGAAGGCTAAGTTAGATTAATTAGATGAACAAGCTCATCTTGAACTTGCGTATGAATTTTATATATTGTTGCCATTGTGTCAGATGGATACTGGCACTGCCTACACAAGTCCACATCATGTGGACAACCAAGTGAGGATGGGTTACCCTGAGGAAAAACAAGGAACAGCCCCTGGAAAGGGTGATGGTGGAAATGCGTATCAAGGGCCATCGAGTACCCTCTCCACTTGGTTGTGAATCTGTCCCAAGACTTCATCCTCTCTTGCTTGGCACAAATTAGAAACAGACCCTACTTGATATGTATACATGGGGACACTAAACTTGTGCAGGCAGTGACAGTATCCATCTCAGCCAGGGGGCTTTGGAAAGTGGATATAGCGTACCCCTCCACTTCGGGTTGGACTGGTCAGGGTTTGACCAGCTGCTGGACTTGGACAGTAAGACATCCAGTGAGGAAGACGAAACAACATGGCAGCCTTGTCCTCTTATTTTACTTTTGGCAACTTATCAGGGTGAAGAAAAACAACTGTTGGTTATATACCCCAAAGTGGAAAGATGTCAAACTCTGATTCATCCACTTGGAGAGCAGGGAAGATCATCTGCTGCACATCTGGAAGGTCCTGGAAGAATTGCAAGGGACTGGGACCAACTTGAGAAAATGCCACCCAAGATTAATGCAGGTGCAGTACCTGGGTTTCTGATTTGGTGATGGATTAAACATACCCTATGAGAAAACAGAAAAGCAATGCCAAAATTCTTAGCACTGCAATCAAAAACTTTGTTTGTTTGCCAGTCAATAATTGTGGTAGCATGAGTTTCAGATTTGCCCACACCTATATGTCATTTAAAAACTGTGGCTAGTTGCTTCACATGTTGCTTCACCCATTTCTGAATTTTGATTTTTGAACTCACAAATTTGCAGCTTTTACCAATATAATACAGCTTGGTTTGGAAGTGACCTCTGAGTAATCAGTGCCTCATACGTCACAACACAGTCACAGCACTTTTCAAAACAATAACCATGCAGCAAAAGTCCCACTAGTGTCATTTAGTGTTTTTTACAGTGGAAGTTCTCGCTAAATGAATACAAAAACAAACAGGCTACAGGAAATTTGATCAGACCAGAAAGCAAAACGTGCAAGTATGAGTTTGTAACGCACTATGCAGAATTATTTGCCTGGTGCCAGAATAATCTCTACAAATACGAAT